GTTCCACAGTGAGTATAACAAGCATGCTTTACTGCACATACAGACTGATTTTACTGTTGTGGGTTTACACCGTGTTCCAAATGATTATGCAAATTCTATTTAAGTGTCACAAAGATTAAATATTTTGTTTTTCAGTGTAACTCATGGATGGCATTGTGTGTCAGGGCTCTTTTGATCACTGAAAACAATTTCGGACACCTGTGATAATTAGATTGACAGGTGAGCCTAATTTAAGGAAAAAACTACTAAAGGATGATGTTCCACATTATTAAGCAGAGCACCATTTTCAAGCAATATGGGGAAGAAAAAGGATCTCTCTGCTGCTGAAAAGAGTGAAATAGTTCAATGCCTTGGCCAAGGTATGAAAACATTAGATATTTCACGAAAACCTAAGTGTGATCAGCACACTATTAAGAGATTTGTGGCTGATTCAGAGCACAGCCGGGTTTGTGCAGATAAAGGCACATTGAGGAAGATTTCTGCCAGATCCATGCATCGGATCAAGAGAGCAGCTGCTAAAATACCATTACATAGCAGCAAACAGATATTTGAAGCTGCTGGTGCCTCTGGAGTCCCACGGACATCAAGGTGTAGAGTCCTCCAGAGTCTTGCAACTGTGCATAAACCTTCTATTCGACCACCACTAACCAGTGCTCGCAAGCAGAAACGGCTGCATTGGGCAGAAAAATACATGAAGACTAATTTTCAAACAGTCCTGTTCACTGATGAGTGCCGTGCAACCCTGGATGGTCCAGATGGATGGAGTGGTGGATGGTTGGTGGACGGCCACCCTGTTCCAACAAGGCTGCGACGTCAACAAGGCGGTGGTGGAGTCATGTTTTGGGCCGGAATCATGGGAACAGAGCTGGTCGGCCCCTTTAGGGTCCCCGAAGGTGTAAAGATGACCTCTGCAAAGTATGTGGAGTTTATGGCTGACCACTTTCTTCCCTGGTACAGAAGGAAGAACTATGCTTTCCGTAATAAAATCATCTTCATGCATGACAATGCACCATCTCATGCTGCAAAGAATACCTCTGAATCAATGGCTGTTATGGGGATAAAAGGAGAGAAAGTCATGGTGTGGCCTCCATCCTCCCCTGACCTCAATTGAGAAGCTTTGGAGCATCCTCAAGCAAAAGATCTATGAGGGTGGGAGGCAGTTTACATCCAAACAGCAGCTCTGGGAGGCTATTCTGACATCTTGCAAACAAATTCAAGCAGAAACTGTCCAAAAAACTCACAAGTTCAATGGATGCAAGACTTGTGAAGCTGCTATCAAATAAGGGGTCCAATGTTACAATGTAACGTGACCTGTTAAAATGTTTAAAAAAGTTAAAATGTTGTTAAAAGTTTGATTGAAATAGCTTTTGATTTCAGTAAATATGCTGCAAACACAACAAATGACAATTTTCAGTTCTTTACAATCTAGAAAGTGTTTTGACACTTACTGTGCGTAATATTTTGGAACAATGCATTGTAAGTGTTTTATGTTTAAATAAATACTGTTATCATTAGGAGGTTTGTTCAATAAAATGTGAGTTGTACTCCTAATAGTTGATAACATGAGAATTATGCTGACTGTTATTTACAACAATTATTTAGGTAAATGAGAAAAATATAATTTGCATAATAATTTGGAACTTTAAAACTCTTCCCACTTTTCTGAAAAATATAGGTTTCTTTGCCTTTGCTCTGGCTGTTGGTGAGTTATCCCCGAACTTCCTGTCCTGACGACGCAGACGTGGTCTATTCAACAAAGAAACAGGCTGACAAAAGGTTAAACCTTCCTCACTTTTCTTTGAAAAAAAAATCGTTGGTAGTTTCTTTTACTGCTTTAAATCATATCCCCATTTTGGAGCTTTACCCTCGTTAGTTGTCACATAACAGTGTTTGTGTCAGGCTGTGTGCGCAGGACGTGAGGCATGTCTCTCCAGTAAGGACAAAGAGTTGCTAGCTTTTTCATACAAAAGGGTTATAATCTCTTTAATTGCAGCCCCATCAGCAGCACATACTCGCCCTCACTTCACAATTGTGAGAAGAGAAAAAGAAAACTACCCAGTAGTTCTACATATAGGAAGCATGTGACAGCACTGTTGCTCAGCCACTCAGTACTGGACCTGGGGGAAGGAATGAGTTCTAATCTTACCTCTTCTTGGGGACATCTTTCAATAGGGACACCTGTCTAAAAGGGAAATTCCTCTCACTTTGGGTGATTTCCCCTAACTTCCTGTTTAGTTTCAGGGACAGGAAATAAAAGGGAAATTTCTCCAATGGTCAAAATAAAATATTCTTACAAGATTATACGAACATATTGCAAAAGAACTGGAACAATCTGTTTTACACACTATTTGAAGAACAGCTTCTCTCTCAGTCCATTGTTCCTCTAATTAAAGAACAAGTTCACCTTTGGAACATGTCCCATCAGTGTTATCTGTGAATGGAATAGACTACAAGTACTGTCAGCCATCGCGGTTGGCAACTTATAGTTCCCAATGAACTGTGAGGACGCTGGTGACTGCTCTTGTAATTCATTGATCTTCCTGCTGTCAAGTAACTGCCTGCCCATGCAAGGTACGGGAAGGCAGCTATCCTAAGAGTCTGCAGGAGCCTTACATTGCACCTGTGATCTACTGATCGTGAGTGCAATGTTCTGCAAGCTCTTTAGAAAAAAAAAATAAGCATTTATTATTTTTTTAAAGGTGAAATTATCCTTTTAGTTGTCTATACACTGAAAATTTAGCCTGGTTCCTCATAAACTGACAGAAATATGCCCAGTGGTCCTGTTGCCCCCCTCTCTGGCTTGGCATCTTTTGAGTGAAAGATCACAGAAACCAAGTGGAAAATTGTCAAACAGCAGTTGCATTCAAATGCAGCCACTGTGTGGGTATTCTCACAGCTGCTGGTGGTGGCTGTCAGAATACAATGGAGTGAGAAAATCTTGGATTTTCTAAATGTCCTCTTTTAGAACAGCAGCACAACCTCAGACACCCTACAACATGAATCCATCTCTGATGCAGTGTGCTTTGAGGAACAGTCAATGAGGAGCAGTATGCGGCAAAAGACTACCTGAATTTAAGAAGACGCTGCGCACCAATTATCTTACAGCCCTCCTGCAGTGTGATAGAGTTGTTTTCTGATCACCAAGCCGTAATTCCTCTGCACCAATGCAGCCAGGTGACCAGGATTCACTTTACTGCTCTGCATGGCTGGGTGCTGAGGTGAGTTTCCCCCACCACAGTTCTTGAAGACTGTGAAATCTGGTAGGGAGAGGTCAAACCCTGCCCTATTCTACTACAGTGCCTTGAAAATGTATTCATCCCCCTTGAAATTTTCCACATTTTGTCATGTTACAAGCAAAAACGTAAATGTGTTTTATTGGGATTTTATGTGATAGACCAACACAAAGTGGCACATAATTGTGAAGTGGAAGGAAAATGATAAATGGTTTTCAAAATTTTTTTTACAGATAAATATCTGAAAATGTGGCATGCATTTGTATTCAGCCCCCCTGGGTCAATACTTTGTAGAACCACCTTTCACTGCAAATACAGCTGCAAGTCTTTTTGGGGATGTCTCTACCAGCTTGGCACATTCTGCCAATTCTTCTTTGCAGAATCGCTCAAGCTCTGTCAGATTGGATGGAGAGTGTCTGTGAACAGCAATTTTCAAGTCTTGCCACAGATTCTCAATTGGATTTAGGTCTGGACCATTCTAACATATGAATATGCTTTGATCTAAACCATTCCATTGTAGCTCTGGCTGTATGTTTAGGGTCGTTGTCCTGCTGGAAGGTGAACCTTCACCCCAGTCTCAAGTCTTTTGCAGACTAACAAGTTTTCTTCTAATATTGCCCTGTATTTGGCTCCATCCATCTTCCCATCAACTCTGACCAGCTTCCCTGTCCCTGCTGAAGAAAAACATCCCCACAATATGATACTGACACCACTTTTCACGGTGGGGATGGTGTGTTCAGGGTGATGTGCAGTTAGTTTTCCACCACACATAGGCCAAAAAGTTCAATTTTGGTCTCATCTGACCGAGCACCTTCTTCCACGTTTGCCGTGTCCCCCACATGGCTTCTCGCAAACTGGACTTTTTTTGGCTTTCTTCTTGACACTCTTCCATAAAGGCCAGAATTGTGGAGTGCACAACTAATAGTTGTCCTGTGGACAGATTCTCCCACCTAAGCTGTGGATCTCTTTCCATTTTCAGATGATGGATTGAATAATGTTCTGTGAGATATTCAAAGCTTGGGATTTTTTTTTTTTTTTTTTAATAACCCAACTCTGCTTTAAACTTCTCCCCATTATCCCTGACCCATCTGGTGTGTTCCTCAGCCTTCATGGTGCTGTTCTCTAACAAACCTCTGAGGGCTTCACAGAACAGCCGTATGTATACTTAGATTAAACTACACACAGGTGGGCTTTATTTACTAATTAGGTGACTTCTGAAGGCAATTGGTTCCACTATTTTTTAGTTAAGGGTATCAGAGTAAAGGGGGCTGAATACATATGCATGCAAAACTTTTCAGATATTTATTTGTAAAACACTTTTTAAAACCATTTTCCTCCCACTTCACAATTATGAGCCACTTTGTGTTGGTCTATCATATAAAATCCCAATAAAACACATTTACATTTTTGGTTGTAACATGATAAAATGTGGAAAAGTTCAAGGGGTATGAATACTTTTTCAAGGCACTGGATAAAGCCAATAATCTGCGGTGTTGCCCTTTAATTCTCACAAGTCACAATGCTAACGTATTTTGATCTTCATACTGATACATTCAAGTCACTTGACTCACATCCAGAAGAAATCAATTTATTTGTACAAATAAAAAAAAAAAACATTTAAATGGAAACATCTCAGCAATATAATCTTGATATTTGATGAAACTGAGCTTCATGATCCTTTGTAGGAATCCAGAGGTAACATGGGTACAATGTGACTTCATAGAGTAGACTGCTCACCCCACTGGGACAGTTCAGTGTGCAGATCATTCAGTCTTTAATGACGGCCTCTGTCTGGTTCTCTGCTGCTTCCTGCAGCTGCAACCTGCGCTGAAAGTGTCGATACACCCGGAGACTGCACAGATATCCTCCGTACAGCGTCAGCAGAATCATAGTGCCAGAAAATGTCTTGTACCCAAGATCCGCAAGGCGCTTGTTGGAAAGCATCTTTAACCTGAAAGATAAAGAAATTGGTAATGATGAAAACAGGCAAAAACTATAAAAATCCTAATGGTAGAACAGACTCTGTCCATCTCTTCTGCCATAAAATCTTTTCTCCTAGTTCCATGATGGACACAGCCTTTCTATTCTTTGCCTTTTTTTTTGTGACCAAGCATAGAAAGGCTGTGTCCGTTAATGAACGCAGAGAAAGGGATTTTACAGCGAGTAACAAAAAAAATCCCATGTCCTCCTGTCTGCCAGCAGTTGATTACGATTTGTGCACTGACAGCCACACATGCACATGCACAGCTCAGTGTATGATCCCAGCATCTTACAGATCTTAAGTGCTAGGTGCTGGGATGGATGAATTCCAATGTGCATGTGTGGGGAGTTATGTCATCCTAGCCCAGCCAATCAAGGCGGCTGAAGACAAAAGTGTCAGCGACTGAGCAATGCGGGGGGATTTTACAAGGAAATGTTCTGATTAAAATTCCGTTTTATGCATTGACATACCTCCTTAGACCCAGTGGGGGCTTATTTTACTAAAGCTGGAGGGCAAAATCAGGCTCACTTCTGTATAGAAACTAATCAGCTTCTAACCTTGGGCAGCACAGTGGCTAAATGGTTAGCACTTCCGCCTGGCAGTAATCCCAACCACGGCACCACCTGCACTGGAGTTTGCATGTTCTCCCCTGTGCCTGCGTGGGTTTTCCTCCAGGTACTCCGGCTTCCTCCCACACTCCAAAGACATGCTGGTAGGTGAATTGGATCCTGTCTAAACTGGCCCTAGTATGTGTATGTAAGAATATGAGTTAGGGACCTTAGATTGTACACCCCTTGAGGGTTAGGGACTGATGTGAATGTACAATATATATGTAAAGCGCTGCGTAAATTGACGGCTATATAAGTACCTGAAATAAATAAAAATAACCTTAGCTTCAATCACGCTTTGGCAATAAAACCTGGAAGCCGATTGGTTTCTATGCAGAGGTGAGCCTGATTTTGCACTCTCCAGCTTTAGTAAATAAACCACAGTCTGTCCAAACAATATGGTCACCTGCTGACTTGGCACCATCCACAGGCAGTTTTAACTCTTCAGTAAGACAAGAACACAATTTTACTTCACATAATTGCAGTACAGAGGGTGATTTTCCAGTTAAAGTGCAAAAACCATGGCATTCCTAAGCCCTGCCTCTGCCGAGGACTAACACTGCTTGCGGGAATATGGAAGAAACAGGAAGGGTCTAGCTAGGACTCAACTAACTAGCCCTTAAAATGAGGGGAGGACAGAGGGAGATGCAAAATCACACAAGTATACAAGTTATGGTGGCTCTAAACCGCCACTAGATGTCAGCATACCACAAAACAATAGAAGCCTGATCCAGTTCAATATAACAGAATAATACACGGCTCAAAAAACTTAAAGAACCACTTTGAAGACACATCAGATCTCAATGGGGAAAATCTCATGCTGGATATCTATACTGATATGGACTGGGTAATGTGTTAGGAACGTAAGGATGCCCCATCGTTTGATGGAAATGAAAATGATCAACCTACAGAGGACTGAATTCAAACACCCTGAAAATCAGTGAAAAAAATGATGCAGCAGGCTAGTCCATTTTGCTGAAATTTCATTGCAGCAGCTCAAAATGGTCCTCAGTAGTTTGTATGGCCCCCACGTGCCTGTATGCATGCCTGACAACACCGGAACATGCTCCTAATGAGACAATGGATGGTGTCCTGGGGTATTTCCTGCCAGATCTGGAGCAGGGCATCACTGAGCTCCTGGACAGTCTGAGGTGCAACCTGGTGGCATCGGATGGACTGAAACATGATATCCCAGGTGTTCTATTGGATTTAGGTCAGGCAAGTGTGGGGGGGGTCATTCAGTGGTATCAATTCCTTCATCCTCCAGGAACTGCCTGCATAGTCTCGCTACATGAGTCCGGGGATTGTCGTGTACCTGGAGGAACCCAGGACCCACTGCACCAGTGTAGCGTCTGACAATGGGTCAAGGATTTCATCCTGATACCTAATGGCAGTCAGGGTGCCATAGTCTAGCCTAGCAATGGGCAAACTACGGCCTGGCGGACCTTTTAATCCGGCCCGCGGAGCATGATACTGTCAGGATGTGTGTAGGCGGGGCAGCGTGACGAACGTGAGGGGAGGGGAGCTAGGCTCCTCTCACAGTCCGCCCTGAAGACAGGAACGGCGCGGGAACACGGCGAGAGGAACGTGCGGAGCAAAGGTAAGTGAATTGACACGGGGGGGACTTGGCTTACTACTTGGGGGGGGAATAGTACTATGGGGGATGAAATACTATATGGGGATGAATTACTATATGGGGATGAATTAATATGAGGAATAAATTACTATATGGGGGATGAATTACTATATCTACTCTTGGTCTGGCCCCCGGGTCCAATATATGAACCCATTGCGGCCCTCAAGTCAAAAGGTTTGCCCACCCCTGGTCTAGCCTGTAGAGGTCTGTGCATCCCTCCATGGATATGGCTCCCTAGACCATCACTGACCCACCACCAAAACAGTCATGCTGAACCATGTTACAGGCAGCAAAACATTCTCCACGGCTTCTCCAGACCCTTTCACGTCTGTCACATGTGCTCAGGGGGAACCTCCTCTCATCTGTGAAAAGCACAGGGTTCCAGTGGTGGACCTGTCAATTCTGGTGTTCAATGGCAAATGCCAATTGAGCTCTATGGTCTATGGTGCCGGGCAGTGAGCACAGGGCCCACTAGAGGACATTGGGCCCTCATGAAGTCTGTCTGTTTCTGATTGTTTGGTCAGAGACATTCACACCAGTGGCCTGCTGGAGGTCATTTTGTAGGGCTCTGGCAGACCTCATCCTGTTCCTTCTTGCACAAAGGAGCAGATACCGGTCCTGCTGATGGGTTAAGGACCTTCTATAGCCCTGTCCAACTCTCCTAGAGTAACTGCCTGTCTCCTGGAATCTCCTCCATGCTCTTGAGTCTGTGCTGGGAGACACAGCAAACCTTCTGGCAATGGCACATATTGATGTGCTATCCTGGAGGAGTTGGACTGCCTGTACAACCTCTGTAGGGTCCAGGTATCGCCTCATGCTACCAGTAGTGACACTGACCCTAACCAAATGCAAAACTAGTGAAAAACAGTCAGAAAATATGAGTAGGGGAAAAAAATGTCAGTGGCCTCAACCTGTAAATGTAAAACCATTCCTGTTTTGGGGGTCATCTCATTGTTACCCATCTAGTGTACCTGTTAATTTCATTACCACCAAAGCAGCTGAAACTGATTAACCCCCCCCCCCCCCTCTGCTACTTAACTGACCAGATCAATATTGTTTTTGATTGGTGTATAAACAGAGAGGACAGAACATCCATGATGCTCCAGGGAGGACAAAACCACTGTTAAAACACGGACACTGCACGCTGGGTCTCCGATGGTGGGGGTCTGATTGATTGGCTGTCACAGTGATTGGGAGCCCACCCCACCGAATCATAATCTAAGCAGTGAGCAGGAGCTGCGACTATGCTGGGGGCCCCGAGCATCCCCCCAGCACACACAGGTGACACCGGCTGTATGTTTATAGGGGGCAGTATGGAGGTCCTCCGCTGTGCTGACACGTGATCACCATAAACAGATCACCAGTGTCTGAGCGCGGGGTGTGACCTGCTTTACCTGCAATGCCAACATCTCCATAGGAGAGATCTGTCCACAGGAACATGAAAAGCAGGACAAAGGTGGCCTCATCCACACACCACTGTCATGTATGGGAATCCTCTAGAAGGACATTATGGCCTGCATCCCTGTCTGGGAGATTCCGGGATGGAAATGGAACATCTAACTGTTGTCACCAGGCTGGGTGTATGGCAATTCCCCAACATGGGGACACCTGATCTTATATCAACTGATAGAAGTGGGATTTGCCTTCATTTATGCCAGAATGACCAGGAGGGGGCAGATAACCAACATATCAGTGTTATGACCCTGGATCCCCTGACCTCTCCCCCATAACACTGAGCTGTCACCTGACACTGTACACTCAGTCACCCCCTGCACTCCGGCTGCTGTAGTGGCCCATGTCCCTGGCACAGCCAGACACCAAAACATCCTACCCGTGACTTTCACTCCTTCACGACTATCACTTCCTGCAGGAAACACGTGACTCCTCCTATCCATCACCCGCCGGAAGTCTCGATGGTGTGAGGTGGGTCATGTGGTACCTCTCGGTCCCGGAGGTGCGGCCTTTACGGCGAAGGGCGGGGCAGAGTGGGTCATGTGATATGCTCTTGGTCCCGTAGGCGCGGCCTTTAAGGCGATGGGCGGGACAGCATAGGTCATGAGATATGCTCTCGGACCCGGAGGTGCGGCCTTTGTGGCGAGGGGCGGGGCAGTGCGTGTCATGCGATATGTTGTCGGAGCCGGAGGCGCGGCTTTTGTATCCAGGGGCGGGGCAGTGCGTGTCATGCGATATGTTGTGGCAGCCGGAGGCGCGGCTTTTGTAGCCAGGGGCGGGGCAGGCGGGTCATGCGATATGTTGTCGGAGCCGGAGGCAGCGGCTGCCAGGGTCATGCGGGTCATGCGATATGTTTTTGGAGCCGGAGGCGCAGCTTTTTTAACCAGGGGCGGGGCAGTGCGGGTCATGCGATTTGCTTTCTCTCAGCTTAGGTGCGGCTAGTGCGGGGCAGCGCTAACCATGTCCGCGCCGCTGAGGTGAGAGGGTCCTATGAGGAAAACGTTCTCGGTGAAATATTGGTATCTGTGTGCCGAACTCTCAAAATCCCGCATGGACATGTGACACCCTGAGACTGCTCTATGGTCCGTACCAGTGACCCCCCTTTCCATAACATGGATTTCTGGTCATACCTAAAACACGTGACTTGTCCATGAGGAGTCCTATCACAGACCCTCCTTCTTTAGTCATAGTCCTGCCCCTTATGGGAGTGTCTGATTGGTGACTATGCTGGCCCAGCTCCTCCACCTTTTGCCCTACCTGCTACTTA